GGGGGGGGGGGGGGGGTCATGTGGGCAGGCAGGACAGGCTCCTCCTTCCCTGAATAAGGCAGCATAACATTTGCTTCATTCATCTTTGGTAAAGGACAAGGACTGGCAAAGCTGACCTGGAGTTTTAAGGGAGAGGGCAGCCCGGGCCTCTACCTTCCACTGGCTGGGGGATGCTGGGCTTTACCCCAGGCTTGAGTGGGCTCATCCATCTCAGAGACACCCTGGTGGTCTCCAGACGTTGAGAGGAGAAACAAAATAACACTCTGAATGAAAATAACACTATTCATACCCTGGCATCAGTCCTATGACCCAGAACCTTTGGGCTTTGGCGCCGATTGCAGTGTCAGGACATGTCCCCAAGAGTGGGGCCCATGGCCACTTTGCACACTGTTCCCAGCCCCTTCCCCTCCACGCTGAGCTCTGGGGTCTAACATGCTGGGAGCTCCCAGTCCTTGAGGCTGCAGACAACCATCCTGATTCTGAGCCCCAGTGGTGGAAGGGCACATACAGACGCTGGCTGGACTGCAGCTCCATGGTCCACAGCCTTGCCTGGGAGAAGCAGCAACTTCGCTAAGCCCTGCAGCAGCCCCCTGCTGGTGTAACAGGGGGCAGCCAGCAGCAGCATGACCTTGAGAGCTCAGTACACGAGCTGTGCAAAGTGGTGTGTGAGCAGCTCCTCAGCTGAAGGTCTCTGGCGAGCCTCCACAAAAATGCGCCTCAGGAAGTCCCGGCCATGTTCAGAGATGTGGGAGGGCAGCTGAGGATTGGTGGGCTGGGTGGCAATCTTGAAAATGGCAGCCATTGCTTCATACTCTGCCCAAGGTGGTTTCTCTGTTAGCATCTCCACCACAGTGCAGCCCAGGCTCCTGAAGAGAGAGGACTCCACATCACCCTTGGGCCAGCCCTGGGCTCCCAGCTGCCTGCACACCGTGTGAAAGGAGGTGCCTTTCTCAGAACGTACTGAGGCACAGGATGGGACAAGCTAAGGGTTGACAGCCCTTGGATCCCCAAAGTCAGGAGAAGCTTCCAAGCACTCTTGGCCCTTGTCCACATAGGCTTCATCAAGGTGCTTATCACCACCCACCCCAATACTCCTTGAGACTGGGGAAAAGAGAACCACTTAGCATTGACAGAGAAAGCTCCACCAAGAAAATGTTATTAGCATCCTACTACTGCTGTAAAAATTACCACAAATTTAGTGGCATAAAAACAACACAAATTTATTATCTTACAGTTCTGGAGGTCAGAAGTCTAAAATTAGTTTCACTAGGCTGAAGTCAAGGTATCAGCAGGGATAGTTCCTTCTGGAGACTCTGAGGGGAGAATCCATTTCTTTGCCTTTTCCAGCATCCAAAGGCTGCCTGCATTTCTTGGCTTTTGCAATAAAGCCTCCTCGCATTACTCCAACCTCTTGCTTTCACTGTCACATCTACTACCCACTCCAATCTCCTGCCTCCCTTGTGATTAGGACCCTTTTATAAGGACCCTGGTGATTATATTGGGCCTACCTGGATAATCCAGGATAATCTAGGATAATCTCTCCATCTCAAAATCCTTAACTGAATCACATCTGCAAAGACCCTTCTGCCATATAAGGTAATAATTAGATTCCTGTCATATAAGGTAATAATTACAGATTCCAGGGATTAGGATGTGGACATCTTTGAGGGACCACTATTTAGCCCACCACAATAACTTTCCAAAGGGAGAAGCTCTCACGACTTCTGGGCCCTTTCAGAGTATGCACACAAATTTAGGCAGAGCAGATGCAAGCCATCTAAGCACTAGAAGGAACAAATGTCTGCTCTTGTTTAGAGACTGATCCAGGCCTTCTGAGTGAATTCTACTTCTTTAAGGAATTTAGCGAACATGAGGAATATTTTCCGTGGCCTAAATTCCCAGCACTAACAAGCAGTTTGCCATTTGGGGTTCAAACACAACCCGTTTTGTTGTATGTGCTACCACTCACCACACGTCTGCCTTCCTTCCATAGCCCTCGCCGCTTATCACCTCAGGGCTCATCCAGTAGGGTGTGCCAGTGACCGAGCGCATGCCTGTCCCTGACATGCAAATGGTCTGCAGGCGCTTGCTGGCCCCAAAGTCCCCCAGCTTCACATTCCCAGCAGAGTCTCGGAGGATGTTGGCTCCTGAGGCACGAAAGAGCACAGGTTGCAACCTTGGACCCCCTTGCATATCCCACTATCCTCTTCCTTCCTTCCCAGGTCACTAAGACCTGCTGGGGAGGGCGGGGGTTACACTGAATTAGACATGAACTGCACACAGCAAACAGTCTACGTAAGGGAAGCCTCAGATCTACAGTACGAAATGACCATCACCATGGCAAACATTCGCAGAGAACTTTATGGTATTTTCCCAAATTGCTCAACCAATCTTTATACCAATGCCCCAAGGAAGCACAGGGGTCCCACTTTTCAGAAATTTCAGAATGGCTAAGTGATTGGCCCACTAGTAGTTAAGTAATTGGTCACTAAATGGTAGACTTGAACCCAGGTGTTGAAGACTCCATACAGCCTGACCCTGTTCACCTTTGATGTCCCGGTGGACAATCATGTTGCTGTGCAGGTAGGACATGCCCTCCAGGATCTGCCGGGTGTACTTTCGGGTCACACTCTCCGTCAGAGCTCCGTAGGCCTTCAACTGGTCCTTCACCGAGCCCTACCAACCACAAGGAGTCAGAAGAAGTCCCCTCAGGGAAAGGGTGTAGAGGGGGGCAGGGCTATTCCCAGCCCCCAGCACTGCAACAAAGGACTGATTCATCCAATTCCCATTTAAAATGTGCTGGACACTACCAGGAGCTGCTGGGCAGTTTGGAGAAGAGTATGAAACAGTCCTTTCCTCAAGCAACATTAGACCCCAATGCAAGAGAAGGCAGGTCTGCTTACTGCAGGAAAAGGCTGTATTTCCTGGACAGAAGACCAGCCCTGCAAGCCTCAGGTTAGGGCTGGGCCTGGGACATTTCTCACCTCACACCATCACTGCAGCCCTCCTGACTCCAAGAGGGCTATCACCTCACGATGCTCCCTTGAGCCTTTGGAGCTTCAAGTGGTTAGACCCATGTCAAAAGCGACCCCTCCCCTGCAGCCCCCGCCCCCGCCCCCAGGTCAGGCCCTCTTTTGTGTATGTCTCACATGCATCCAAAGGGCACATACCCCTGGCATGTACTCCATGAAGATGGTCAGAGTCTTCTCAGCACGGTCCCGCAGACAGCCGTAGTACTGCACAATGCGCTCATGCTGCAAGTTCTTGAGCAACTGGATCTCACATTCCAGAGCACTCACCTCCTAGGGGAGGAGTGAGTGGTCACCTCAGCTCTCAGGACTCCAGTTCTGCCCACCTTGCATCAGCTCAGCTTGCCCTAGTCAGTAGCCTCACAGGGGTCTGCCTCGGGAACTTCGGCTGGAGAAAAGGGGGGCTCTCAACTGTCTGGCCCTTGGCCACAATACTGGGCAGCCCTTGGGATGGTGGCACTCCCATGACTGGAAAAAGGTAGACAGAGAGGTGGGAGAAGGGATTGTGGGTACATAGCTAAGGCAACTGCTGTATCTGTCCACTCAAAATTGAAGCGTAGGCCACATCCAAAGCTGAACTCCAAAGAGAGGCCATAAATTTCCTCCTTTAGAACTGGACCAAATGAGTGAGCTCCATGGCTCCTTCTGGGCCAAAGGCTGGGGAGAGGTGTCTGTTTATTTGGGTGGGGGTTGGAGGGGGGCAGGGAGTGCTCTTTGTGGCACTGGTCATCACTCTCAGTTTGGACTGCTTGGGACTTTGGCACTGACTCTGTTCCTCATACCCAATCCCTCCCCCAGATGCTTGGTGCTCTTTGGACCACAGTCCCTTCACCCCATGGCCAGAGCCAGGGTGGACAGCAAGGGAACTTAGGAGGAAGAATGACGGGGGAAGCAACCTGTAGCATCTCAAGCAATTACTTTACTTTGTGCATTAAGTCAGGCATTTTTGTTGAAAAGGGGGAACTGTAAGTCAGACCATGGGAAAGGCAGTACCTTGCTTGTCTCAGGACTGTCTGGGTCAAATTGGACCTGCTTAGAAGCAAGTTCACGTCCCGTGTCCACGTCATAGCACAAATAGACCCTGCCGAAGGCACCCTGGCCCAAGAGCTTGCCCCGGCGCCAATTGATGGGGGCACTAGGAGCTAAAGGACAGAGGGAAGGAGGATTACTTCATGTACGTTATTTATTAATACCCTGCCTCATTCTCCAGAAACCCTATAATGAGGCCTCTGGCTCAGGTTCCCCCTCACCCAGCACCATCCCATCTCAGTGCAGCATCTCCACCCCAATCTAGAGCAAGCTCAGTACCCTGGTCAATCAGACCTAAGATTAGAGTCCTGAGAAACAGAAGACTAGCTAAAGTCATGGTTAAATGCTCATTTGCATTGATCAAATACCTTTACTTCCAAAGCCCCTAAATATTTTAATATGGCAGGGATTGTGGCAGGGCTCTTCAGTTTAAACATGGAAAAACTGAAGAACAGAGAGGAGAAATGGCTTGTCACAATAGTGAAGTAAGGCTTAAGGTCCTGGGGGGGATCTGCTGCCTACTCCAAGGCTTTTCCAGTGTGGTGAGGATGGGCCAGAGCAACTGACTGCTGAGCCTAAGAGCCCAGGGGCCTGGCTGTCTTCCCACCCTTGCAGCTTGTCTGAGCAACCCTCTGGGAAGCCTTTCCTAGCCAGTGATGACTCCTCACACTTGGTTGGCACGCTCCTTTCCTGCACAGAGAGGGCATTCTCGCTGTCTGCACTCCTCAGGCGCCCACGGGGGTCCAGGTATTGCACTGCCAGACCCATGTTCTCGCCATTTGTGCTCAGGGAGCGGCTGGAAGGCACCAGAGTGAACAGGTTGCCTTGATGACGCCGTATTCGGGGAAATGTTCTTCTGCCTGAAAGGGTGCAGGGGCCAGAGTAGAACAAGTCAGACCCCTGGCCACAAGGCTGAATGTGGAAAACAGATCCTCAGTAGATGTGACAGATAACACCAGCTCTAGGTCATCCTATCTGCCCTCCCAGCTGACTCAAGCCAGAAAGGCTGCTGTCCCAAGCACCCCAAGAATCACGACAAAATCAGAAATTAAAAAGTAGCCTGCTTCAGGGGGCCCTGGCCAAAGGGAAGGAGGAACAGGGCTGGCCCTTGGGTCCCAAATCATCCCCAATGCCAATCCATAGCTGAAGACTCCATTTTCCTTGTGATCCTACTCTTAACCCCTCTGAAGAGGCTCCATCTGCTGCTACACGGCAAGAGAGGGTGGTGGAGAGGTGGTGCCCCTGGAGTATGCCACGGACTCAGACAAAGGACAGAATTCCCAGTGGCAGCATCTTGGTCTACAAATACGACCCTCTTTTTTTTCCTCCTGTCTCCCCTGCCTCTAGTCTAGGGCATAATTCCTCAGAAACAGGAAAACACAGTGTCTGGAGGGCCAGGGCCAACCCCCTTGTGGTGGCTTTTCCAAGGTAGAGCTTTAAGCATGTCCTTTAACAAAGCAGCCTCCAGGGGGCAGCATGGAGGTACACTCACCATCATTGTAGTCCTTGTGGTGCATAGATACATGGTAGCGCCGGGGGTAGGTTCCACCTTTGACCCCTTTGTCATAGAGCTGAGTTTCCCGGTCTGAGTAAGACAGGAGAATCACGGTCAGGTCAACATGAGTGAGCCACTTAAACCCTCAGGTGGTCTCAGACCTCAGGGCAACAGGCCCAAGAATTACATTATAGTCCTCACTTCTCAACTCGGAGCAGTTAAAAGCAGAACCATCTGTAGCCCCACCCAGACACCCTGTAGTGCCCATCCAGGCTCTGTGGAACACACCTGAGTACTCCTGTCTGTTATCTGGAAAGCTCTGGGCTCGAGACATTCGTGATTTCCGGAAGGATGGGCTAGAGAAAACAAAAAAACATAAAATAGACCTCAGCACACTTCCAGAGCAGCAGAGCAGGACAGAAGGCTGGGCATCCAAGTGGTCTCCCTTTCTAATTCCTTCCCGCATTGTTAGGTGTTGGGAAGCAAATTTTGAGGGAAACAGCCCTTTTCTGAGCCCAGCCTCCAGCTTTCTCTACCCTCCCTTTTTTTTTTTTTTTTGTTTTTTTCAGTGTCCGGCAACGGATCGCAACCCTCAGTGTCGCCCCCGTACCGGACCANGCGCCGCCGCGCTTCCCAAGCGGCGCACTATCCAGTGCGCCACCGGGCCGGCCCCCTCTCTACCCTCCCTTTGACAGGACCCTGATTGGTAAATCTCTCCTGCTCTACCGAACTCCACCCTGGCTGCACAACCCTTTCCCTCTTTCTTCCCAGCTCTGTAACAGGTAAACAGATGCAAGAGTCTTTGCCCAAAGCAGTAATAAAAATAGCAACAACAATGTAGTTTGCAGATTGCTGCTTTCTTATTTATTTCACAAAGTGAGCTTTTCCCCATTTAATCCTCCCAACCCTGTGAGGTAGGAAATATAATAAAATACTATAATAGCAGGTACCAACTATTGCACAGCTGCTATGCTATTTCTAGTCCTCACAGATACCCTACAGATTAGGTATTAACATTACTATTTACCTGCTCAAGGATACAGCTAGTAAGCAACAGGGCCAGACTTCAAATCCAGGTCTGTGACTACAAAGTCTACATTCTTGCTGCTAAACCAGGCATCTTCCTTTCAGACTAATCACCGCCATCCCATTTTATTTTATTTTATTTTTTTTTCTTTTTGTCTTTTTTCGTGTCCGGCAACAGACCGCAACCCTCAGTGTCGCGCCCGTACCGGACCGGGACCGGCAACGGGATCGCAACCCTCGGTGCTGCGCCCGCCCCTCGCTCAGCCAGTGAGCGGGAACCGGTCTGTATGTGGGATCCGAACCCTCGGCGGGAGCGCCGCCACGCTCCCAAGCAGCGCACTGTAGCAGCGCGCCACCGGGCCGGCCCCGCCATCCCATTTTAGAGATGGAGAAACTGAGGAACAGAGAGATTAAGGAATTTGTCTGAAGCCACTCAACTAAAAGTTGATGGAGCTGGGACTAGATCTAGGTTTATCTGGCTCCAGATCCCATGCCCTTTCCTAGATACCATGAAAGGAAGATGAGAGCCCTGAGCTTAAGTTAGACGTGGCCTCAAGGAAATAAGTCCAGATCATTAGGTTTCATTCCCAGAGAGAAAACAAAGCACTGTAGGGATGGAAGAAAAACCTGAGAACAGAGAAGTGGGTAAACTTAGCTATCTTTCCCAGCATCCACCTGAATGGCCTTTTCCCTTGTATGTGAGTGCCTTTTCAGAGGGCAACAGGTCAGAAATTCTCAAGGCGGTGACTTTGGGGGATGGGGCGGACTGCCCCCTATTTCCCAACTACTTGACCTTCTGTAGTCATCCCCTCCCTTCCCCTCCAAGCTTAAGAGATAGTCCAAAGCCAGAGTCAGCCCTTTTCCTAGCAGAGCCCTCTGTCTATGGCAGCACCTCCTGGTACTTTTTTACCTGTGCCTTCTTGCTCCCCTGGTTGCAGAGCAAGCCCAAAACAAGGCTACACACTGGAAACCAACAAGTAACTATGACTGTATTCTATGATATCTAGAGGGAAGACAGTGCTCACCAGTGTTCAAGTCTGTTAGAAAAGACATAGTACAAATTTGGCTATGGTTATAAGACGAGTACCCACATAAACAATTAATCAGTCACACAAACTGATTACAGTTACAGAAAAAGAAATCCCCAAATCTGCTCCATAACCTCTCAACCATAACCCTAAGACCAGCCAGACATGACCAAATGTGCTCTTGAGCTTAATGAGATTGAGGTGAGAGAGTGACAGGATCAGCGCCAAGGCCTGCTCCAAACAGACCCTTGCCACCAGGTGAGTCAGCTCCACAGAGCTGTTTGGTATGTAAAGGACAGCACTTGTTTGCTCCCAAGTGTAAGAACAAGATCACACACAAGCAGGCAGTGTGGCATGCTAGGCAGTCTGGATATCTTGCTTTCTGATTTTTAAATCCCGGTTTCTTATTCTACCAGAAACACTTGGAGAAAAAAAATGAAAGTAAACCCATGGATGAGAATTCAGTTTTTCCCCCAAAACTTGATGGTCCACTGCTTCTCAGTTCAGAACACAGCACTGAGGCCAAAACTACAAGAGCAGAATATATTATGTGGAAAGTCAAAACATGTAAAACACTTAGAACAACACAGCAAGCACTTAATAAATGAGCTGCTATTTAATGAGCTACTATTACATTCATTTAATCATGTAAACATAGCATTCTCATGGCACTTGGAAAATTAAGGAAAGGGCTTTCCTAGAAGCATGATGTTTTTACCTGGGCCAAGTAGACCAATGTCTCAATCAGAGACACACACTAGCTAACTCTACTTCCTCAGCCTATCAGTTCCAAAAATGCCTACACATTAACTCCCAAACCACCCCCAGTCCCATACCTGTCTGCTGACCTCTCCAAGGATTGGCAGCTTCCCGACAAGGAATTTTCAGCACTGCTCAGGGGATCCAGCACCTGTAAGGGCAAGTCACACAATAAAACTTCAGCCCTAGCCCAAGTCCCAGCCAGGTGACCTGGGCTTTATGACCCAGTCTGTGCCAGCAAATGGTCCTTTTGGTCAAAATATCAAAGTGCCCTTTCTCTTGCCATGCAGCAGGAAGAATGGATAGTAAGGTACATTCTCCTCCTCAGTTTGAAAGGGAAGTTTCCAGGAAGGAGAAAAATGCTTGGCTGGCATCCCAAGGAGCTGTGCCAGGATGGCAAAGCAGAGATGCTGCTTCTCTTGTTGGCATTTTCTTGGCTCATTAACATCAGAGCCTGGCACTGGAGATGGTACTACCCTGGAAAGGATTCCAGTGAGTTTGGGTGGGACCTTAATACTTCTGTTTACACTCCATAATTTACAATTTACAAAGACAAGTATTGCCTCATTTCACAGACAAGCATTACAAATCTTGAAAAATTAAGAGACTTGTCTAAAGTCATAAAACCAGTTAGTGCACAGGTGATGCCAGAACAAAAATTTCCCAGTTTCTGGTTCTGATGCGAAGTTAATAGGTATCTATATAAATTAAAATATTTATCTGGCCCCTGGTCAAATATAGTAACAAAAAGCCTGCAAAACAGCCTTTACTCCAACTAATCTCCTGAAGGTTTTCTCTTTCATTTTCTCTGTACAGTGGTAGGGGTGGGTGTGGGGTCTCCAATTTCACAGAATTCATTATCTGAGTTCCAAAGTTAAACATTACATAGAGAAATAGCTGGAAGAGAGGATTTTGTATGTTCCCACCACAAAGAAATGGTAGACGTTTGAGGTAATGGATATGCTAATTACTCTGATTTGATCATTATACAATGTATACATGTATGAAAATATCACTTTGTATCCCATAGATATGTACAATTATTATCTGTCAATTAAAAAAAATTACATAGGGAAGCAAAGTATTAGAATTATAAAAATCTGGGGTTGGCCAGTTGGCTCAGCCAGTTGGAGTATGGGTGTTATAACACCAAGTTCAAGGGTTTGGATCCCCATATGGTCAGCTGCCCCCCCCCCCCAAATTATGAAAACTCATTGATAACTTTCATAAAATTAGTTTCCAACTCAAATATCTTCTTTACTTAATAGTACGGTCCATCCCCACCCATAATTTCAAATGCTTTAAGTTATACTGTCATATGTGATTTAAAAAGATCTGCTAGGGGCCAGCTTGTGGCTCACTTGGGAGAGTGTGGTGCTGACAACACCAAGGCCACAGGTTCAGATCCCTATATAGGGATGGCTGGTTGGCTCACTTGAAGAGCGTGGAGCTGACAACACAAAGTCAAGGGTTAAGATCCCCTTACTGGTCATCTTTTTAAAAAACAAAAAAGATCTGCTAATCAAGGCAAATTAATTACAAAGTAAAACAGCAATTGTTGCTGAGGATACACAATATCCCAAAGTGGATGAAACCAACATGGAAAAAAAATGCTCCCAAACCATCAAGTGCATATTTGGCAGTCAGGCCAGTTAGAAGAAAAAGAGAAAATGGACAAGTATAACAACATGGCAGGTATGATGAAGTAGGAAGAATACTGAAGTTTCAAGAGAGGTCTTGGGAAAAATTGCTGAGTCTTGTGAATGCTTTTGTAAAAACTGACCATCTTTATGATAGTGCTGCAGAAGTCAAGGGGGGGGGGAGAAGTCAAAGGGAAAGTGAAGGAAGTCACATTGCACTAGCATAACCCGAGGCATGGAGAAGGGGACCTGACCTCTCTCCCACAACCAGGCACAACGCGCCAGGGCCTCAGGGCCCACCCAGGGTTCCAAAGCATGGAGAATGGGACCGGACCTCTCTCCCACAACCAGGCACACCAGGCCAGTGCCTCATGACCCACCCAGTGACCCGAGGCATGGACAAGGGGACCAGACCTCTCTCCCACAACCAGGCACACCACGCCATTGCCTCAGGGCCTACCTGCGGACCCAGGGCATGGAGAAGGGGACTGGACCTCTCTCCCACAACCAGGCACACTGTGCCAGTGCCTCGGGGCCCGCCCAGGGACTTGGGGCATGGAGAAAGGGACTGGACCGCCTTCCCACAACCAGGCACACCACACCAGCGCCTCAGGGCCCGCCCAGGGACCTGGGGCACGGAGGAGGGGACTGTACTCCACCTCCCCCAATCAGGCACACTGAGTCAGCTCCTTGGGCCTCACCCGGTGACCTGAGGCATGGAGAAGGGGACCAGGCACACCCCACAACCAGGCATACTGCCAGTGCCAAGGAGCATACCAAAAACAGCACCCCCATGTGGGTGGCCCACTGCAGCCTCCACAATAACCATGGCTGCCACAAAAGCGACTAGACACCACAACCACCACGCAGATGGTCTGCCAACCACTGGAGTGCATTCACACAAGGAGAGTCACCAGCAGACACAAGAAAAGAAGAGGATGTCTCTTTCCACAAAGCCCATTTCAGAGTGACAGAAGAAGCATCTGCTCTATGATAATATTGGGGGACCCGATCACACCTCTCAGCATTAGACAGATCATCTAGGCAACAAATTAACAGAGTAACCATTATTCTTTCAGAAGGAGAGAAGAAATCTAGGGTAATTACAGGGGGGAGGGGGAGGGAATGGGGGAAAGGAAGAGATTGGACAAGGGGCATAAAGAATAATTACGATTTGTAACAATATATATGCTAGTAATATTGATTTGATCAACATATTTCAATGTTCAACTCCCAAAATATGTATAATCGATTTTGATTCAATAAATAAAATAAATTTTAAAAGTGTGTGTGTGTGTGTGTGTGTGTGTGTGTGTGTGTGTGTGTGTGTAATTCAGGAGGAGGAATTGACCAGGAAAAAAAAAAATCAAGTCAAAAAAATTAACATGAATCATGCTTTGTTCATTCTAAAAATCAGCAAATAGATGCAATTATTTGATCTTTAATCTGATTAAAGAAAGAACAAAATAAACATCTTAGTTTCACTCTTCAAGAAAGCCCCAGTGTAATATTCTTTCACTACATACTATGGTTTTTTTGGTCCCTGGTAAGAGGATTTATCTTGGACAGCATGTTACCAGGAGCAATTCTCTTCAGCTAAAGAGACAGGCACTAGGGGAGGACCTTGGCAATTCCCAGCTGCCACCTTCCTTGGCCTCTTCCTAAAAGTCTGTCTTCACTAGGAGTCAAATTCTCCCATGACTTCCAGGACCAGGCAGGTAAAGTAAAAAGGTGAAATGGCTGGGGTACAGGACCATAGGGAGGGATAAAGACCAAAGGCAATTGACTTCATTTGCAATCTCTGGGATTTTACACCTAAGTCTCCTCTTGAAGAACTGCTGTTCAGAAGTGCTCCAGTTAGAGAAACCAGAAAGGACAGTCAGTAAAATGCCCAAGAAGGGAATATGCAACTAAAGGCACTTCAGGTTGCTGTTCCAAACCTGAATTTATCTGGACGGCAGGAACAGAGAAGGGAGAATAAGAGTGTAAAGGGCTTCTCATTGCCTATATAATTTGAATAATGAGAGAAAAGTTACAAGAATCAGTTTTTTGTAAAATCACCCATGTGACGGTGCTGGCCCTGCTGTTAGATATTTTACCCTTAAGAAATTTCTCCTCCTCAAGACCAAATCCCAGAAATTTACATGAGCAGACCTTTCTCTCTGCAATCAAAGCAAGCTCATTGAAAAGATCAGAATGAAACCAGAGATCTCACCCTTGCTGAGTTCAGTAAGGCAAGTCGCCATTTTCATCAAGTAAGCCAGTGGGTAAAAAGCCAGCCATTAAAACGGGTGAGCCATTGGGCCGAGCCCGTGGCGCACTCGGGAGAGTGCGGCACTGGGAGCGCAGAAGCGCTCCCGCCGCGGGTTTGGATCCTATATAGGGATGACCGGTGCGCTCACAGCGCTCACTGGCTGAGCGCGGTGCTGCCGGTCTCAAAAAGGAAAAAAAAAAAAAATGGGTGAGCCATTGTGGTGACACACCCTAAGGTTATCCCCCCAATGAGTCGTGATGAGTCACCCTCCCCTTGAGTGCAAGTACAACCTACGACTTGTTTCTAGCCAAAAGAAGAGGATAGAGTATTCATTCCCATGGTTATGTTATATTACATAAGACTCCATCTTTGAAGACTGGAGCAACAGATTTTCCGGGTGGCCTTGAAGAAGCTGCCATGTTGTGAGAGGGCCATGTGACAAGGAACTGAGAGCAGCCCCTTGCTAGGTGACATACAGCAAGAAAACAGGGACCTCAGTCGGACAACCACAAGGAATGATTCTTTAAATAACCACATGAGCTTGGAGGAAACCCAAAGCTCAAGAAAGGAATACAGCCTGGCTGACACCTTGATTGTGGCCTTATGCGACCTTGAGTGGAGGACCCAGCTAAGTCATGCTTGGACTCCTGACCCAGGGAAACTGTAAAACAGTAAATGTGTAGCATTTTAAGCCTCTAAGTTTGTGGTCATTTGTTATGTAGTAATAGGTAGCTAATACAGCTGTCTACCATCATAAAAGGTCACCTATCCAATCCTACAGTGTAATATGGATATGGTTTACTCCTCACCTTTCATCAAAAAATAGCAAAACTAAAATATAGCCAATAAAAAACAACCTGTCAGTTTAGAATTGGTCATATGAAATGAAGATAGGTAGTTGTAAGGAAGTACGAAATAGCAGAGTGGTATTCTGCAAGAGGACCAGAGGGAAAGTTTGTTAAGTGATCACCCACCACAAAGGAGGCTAGGTCCTTAGTAGGAATTGATTATTTGGCCCCTAGAAAGGAATACTCCATATTTAGGCAGGACTGGTTTACAAAAGAGCTATTGGATGGGGTTCAAGTCCCTTAGGTATGCACCACTGAAAACCCCCAGTTATAACCTTGGTCTGACACAGGCCATGGGTACACCCAAGCCCCCCATACTCACACACTGCTCGCTGGTCTCTGGGATGAACTCCCCTTCACTGTTAATGCTGGTGTAGGACCCTTGCCGAGCAATGTGCTGCTGCCGCTCAGGCACATAGCCAGGGGGAGGTGAACTTCGGCCAGGGTTCTGGGAGCCTAAAACACAGAAAACAAGGTTTTTAACAACAGAGCCCAGGATGTGTGGCCCTAGAGGTCAGGGCCTCCAGGGCCCAGTGTCTCAGATGGGTCATGTGACTCAGATGGGTCATGGCACCAAAGCCCAGCATGCTCCAGCTCCTGAGGCAAAGTCCTTTCCTAATAGGAAGCAAATTCCAGAGATGGAGCAGGCACTACAGCATACATGACCATGAACCTTGGCACAAAACATGAAACAGAATACACCTATGAAACCAATTTAAGCTGGTAATCAGACCAGCTGCTTTTTAAAAAATCCTTGTATATAATATCTCTTCACAACTGTCACTCCTATCTCTTTCTCCCTTAAGAGCACCAATGCCATTTCCTCCCATCCTAGGAAGAACCTAGGAAAATGACCAAATACATTGGCCGAGTCCTTTTGCGCTTTGGGTTTCAGCAGCATTTTGAGGCTGGGGCCCAGGGAAAAGTAACTGGATACTTCTGGACATCTCTCTCTGCTGCCTTGTTCCCCCAGTCAGTGCCTCCCCCTACTTTTCTCTAACCTTATCAGGTAAGAAGGCCCTCCTGATAGTCTGGCCAGCAACCAGAGGCTGCCTCCTCCACTCCTACCCACTCCCGCACTTCCTGGCTAATACAAGTAATGACATCTTGCATTTATGTAGTACATTGCTTTTTGTTGGACATTCACGGTAATTACCTAATCTGATTCTCAACATGCCTGCAAAAGAGGTTTGGCAAACATTTTTTTAAGTGCCTACTATGTAGCAGGCATTCTGCAAGGTATTTTTACATTTGTTACTCCACTTAATTCTTTCAACAATCCTAAGAGGTAAGCATTCGCTTTACTCAACAGAAGAGAAAATTGGGACTCAAGGAGATTAACATTTCTCAAAACAACAACAACAACAACAACAACAACAACAACACAGTTTTTGGAAGCAGGAATTAAATCGCCATTTTACAGATAAAAGAATATAAAGCCAATATACAACTACATCAGTTTATAGGATGGAACAGTTTATCATCCTAATATCACCAAATGACATAGATGTGAAGAGACACTTTACAAATCATTAAGTAAGGTTTTTGTCATAAGAGGTTTTGCATCTGACAAGTCAGGTCTCCCTAGCCCATAACTTTTTCTGACTAACTCTATTGCTTTCCATGATTAGAAGAGACAACATTGAGGCCAGAAGTTTGCATCTTTTTTCCTTCCTAAGCTCACCAGACAAGATCAGAAGAGCCAATCTTCAGAAGGTTTAAAGAAGCTTTAACAATACCCACACACAAACATTTCTAGTACTTTCAAAACTTAAATATAGGGCTCTTATCCTGAGCACTTTTCCTGTTCTAGAGAGAACAGATTTATCCGTCACATAGAAAACCAGAAACAGGCGAACCCTCCACACCCTTATCTAACACTCCCACCCCTCCCCCATGACCCAGCAATTCCCAAACACCTCTGGTAACAGTAGAAGTACTGTCGCTCAACAAAGCAGGCTACTTTCCTTGCTGCCTGGTTTCTGCAGTCTAGTTCAGTGGTTGTAGCACTAGGTTTCCTGAAATGGAACTGCAGGCAAGATGCTCTGTGGGAATAGCTAAGGAAGAGAACATGTTTGGTAGATGGAGATCTGGGGAAGAACCTGACTCATTCTACCCTGGTAGATGGGAATAGCCATCTGCCAATTCCCTCCTTTCTCAATAGAACCCTAGTCTAGATGTTTCAGAAGGAAATTGGGGTGGGTCCAAGTGCAGTGGTGTTTATAACTAATTGATCACAACCAGTTATAGATTTCGTTTCTTCTCTACTTTGAATGCTTCAATTGACTAGGAGTGAAGGAAAATTTGCGATGTATAGTTTTAGTTTTTTATATATCTCTCTCTATATATATCTCCTCTTGTTCAAAAGCCCACGTGGAGCCTCAGCCTGTGGTCTGGAAATAGAGGTGGCACACTAGGGACTATGCAACTACTACAGAGGCTACTAAAGAGCCCGGTTGAGGCTCTTTGGACATCCCGGGACAGAAGGTGGGCCTAACAAACTGCTGGGGCTCAACAAAACTCCCTGAGCCAGTGAGGCTCCTCCTACTTTTCCAAGGAGCCTCAGAAGGAAGAATAACACTTCATGGAAAAAAGATTTTTTTTTTTTTTTGTCTTTTGTCTTTTTCCGTGTCCGGCAACGGATCGCAACCCTCAGTGTTGCCCCCGTACCGGACCGGGACCGGCAACGGGATTGCAACCCTCGGTGTTGCCCCCGCGCCTCGCTCAGCCAGTGAGCGGGAACCGGTCTGTATGTGGGATCCGAACCCTTGGCGGGAGCGCAGCCGCGCTTCCCAAGCGGCGCACTAGCGCAGTGCGCCACCGGGCCGGCCCCCATGGAAAAAAGATTGATTGCGAGGCTTGCTCTTTGAAACAATGTCTAAGGAGTTTAAACCATTATTTTCAATGTCCTTCAAGAAACTGACTCCTCCAGTCTCCATGTGAAGTCAGTTGTTCATTTGGTTGTGTAGAATACATTTTAATAAATTCACCACCAAGAACACCTCTAATTTCTTCTTGGAGGCATCAATCCAGCTTCCCTACAAGAACGTGTCTTGGGCAGGAAGACTAACATAGGCCCATCAGTAATCTGGCTTCCCCACTTGACTCCAGAGGAAAGGCCAGAAACAAAATTGCTCTGAAAACAGGCATAAAATTTTGCTGGATTTCCTGCCTCAACATCTAACTCACACGGTAGAGGCTACCAATTCTGAGATAAAGCAGCACCTGAGCCATGGTTTTCAAATTATCTCAAATAGCTCACAGAAGAAAAGAGTATGTTGGTGTTTTCTAAGCCTTAGTAGAAACTGAAGCTGCTCTGAGCGTAAATTTAGGGATATTGTGCCATGAACTAACAGAGCAATGAAATCAGCCAAAGCATTTTCCTTTCTTTTCTTTTCTTTTCTCTCTCTCTTTCTAACACATTGTTACCTCTTGTCTAACCCTTACAACACCCCTGCAGGTACATTATCATCATCCACATTGTGCAAAAGAGAAACCTGAGGCGCAAGGCCATACAGAGACTCAATGGTAGGGCTGCAACTAGAAAACAGGCTCTGTGATTCCCAGTGCAGTTCAGCCCTGGCAACTTTGGGACCATAATTTATTTCCCAAGAGGGCAGGCATGCTGCTTAACACAGTGGCAGAAGGCAAAACTTCTTCCTGAATTGACCAAGCCACACACTCCCCATGAGCGATCCATACGGAAGATGGAAATTCTCTCCATGGGGAAATATGACAGTCTTTCTGCCAGGCACAGGAGGGAGGCTAACATAAGGAAAACACAGAGCTATGTTTCTCAAAGCTCAAATTCGGAGTTGTTTTGTCCATGATCAATTGTGAGTCAGAGGCCAAGGATACAAAATGCCATTTGCAAAGACAAGATAAAGGCACGGGCAAATCTGGACCAAGGATAAGAAAACTACTCCACTTACCAGTGACCCAGATGTCAAAGACCCATGTACCTGGCTGCTTCCTTTGCCATTGTAACACAAAATCCCAATGCATCCATGAAAAAAAGGATAGTTTTCTTAAGCCCTACCATGCCTCAAAACACAGAGCACTACTTAACCCTTTGCTTGCAAACATTAGCCTAGTGCCTGCTTCCCACTTTTGGGTTTGGATGACATTTTGGTGTCCCACAAGTTCTATGGCAATTGAATTCATATGTTAGCAATAATGTGTTGGCAGCAGAATCAGCCCTAAGGAAGACAGCAAGGTTACTGAGAAAAGTCTAAGCTTTGGAATCAGATGAACACGGCATCAAATCAGGCTTTGCCACTCATTAGCTGAATGATTTATTAAACTCTCGCCTCAATTTCCTCACCTGCAAAGATGGGAGAAGTATCTACCTCATAACTTTTTTTTGAAGTTATAAGTGGTGGCACAGGCACACCTCTACATGACACTACTTTACGGTATGTACTCGGTAGAATCCCATTTGTTTCTTTCACTTTATGTGACAGATACAACGGGTTAGGCTCAAGATCCACTCCACCCTTCCAGCATGCCTTCCTGTACTTCAGAAGCTAATTAACTAAAGGCTCTATTTCCAAGACTCCTTTTAGGCTCAGCCAATTAGATGCACTTGTGTGAGATTTAAAGGCTTCCTGTCATTTCTGCTGTTTCTGGGCACCGTCACAGAAGCCTCTGGTTTTTTCTGCCACAGCATTAGCAGAGGCCCCACACCTGGTCTCCAGCTTTGCCAATGTCAAGAGACAGGGATGGGCATCACTGTGTAACTGCTGTGGCCCAGAGCCAAGGGACACTGGGCTTCTGGATTGGCAGCTTCACAATTACAGAAAAGAAGGAGCGCTGTGGTATGTCTTAACCCAGAGCCTGCTTCTCTCACGTTCGCAATGACTAATAAGCCAGACTGTGCACTAAACCTCTTCTTCTTCAAACTAGTTAAGAGTAGGTTCCCCTCTGTGCAACTAAACCCGACCAGTACACCCTGCAATAAAAAGACATTAAGCATTTTACATAGAACGAATTAAAAATGTCACCCATTCCCTCCCCTTCACCAGATCCACTGAACTCTACACCTTGGTTTTGCAGGTGGGATGGGACTAGCTCACATGAAGCCAGCACTACAGACCCAGGAGGGCCTAGGGGAAAATAGCAAAGGTTTTCTGAGCTTTTATTTCCAGCCAGAGACTTTCACTTTTTCCAACCCACACAGTGGCCTGCAGAGAGCCAGCCTTGTTATCTGATGGGCAGCATGCCAGGGGCTATTGTGCACAGGCCCACAGCCTAGAGCAGGAAAGGGAAGTCTCCCCAAACCTATGGCTATCAGAGGAAGCAAATGGAAAAACCAGGAGTTGGCAGAACTGCTCCAGGGCATTTTCAGTTTTGTTTTTATCTTCATTTCAGAAATTGGGAGCCAATGAGGTGCACAATAGCAGTCAAGAACAAATGAGTCACGGAGTTGAATTCTGGACCATAAGATTCACTTATGG